CAGGAAGTGGAAAGGATTTGGGAAGAAAGGAACAGATTAGTGATTGCATGTTCTGCTTGCTGCAATAACAAGGTATTTCAATTGTTAGACTGAAGAGCAGAATATTCAGTTTCCAGTAGTGGATATTGGCTAATAGAAAAATACAAAGCTAGGGCAAGTATAGATGCAACAGTGTACATTCTGGTATGCTCCACCAGATTATGCACTTCGTCCACTAATTTCTGTTGCAAAATTTAAATTGGGGAGATATCTCTATCTCTGCATTTAGCAATTTTAGATGAGTGTTTCTAGCATTAATTAGTTATTTTGGGGGTATTAGTTATTTTGGGGGTTTATGGAAATACCTACAGCTTCATGTGCCAGTGCATTCCCCCGGCTTTAGCTGCATGTGTGTAAAAGTAGTGGGTTTTGTTTGGCTGCCTGTTTGATTTAATGCCTCCTGGTTCTTCTGCTGGAAGAATGAGTGAACAGTTATTCTCTAGTTTTTCCCATGCCACTTCTGACTTGTAGGCCTGCATTAGGTTTCCTCATCTGTCTCCTCTGTATTGAAGGTATAGGTTCTGAATAACTTAGTACTGGGTTTTTTGCCAGTAAACATGTGGCATTTGTAGTTCTTTGTTGCAAGGCTGGGCCTATTTTTTGAGTGACAATAGTCAGTTTGGGATGTCTTTCAGTTGGCATTTCCACAATACATGTGGAAGTGACTTCACTGTCTTCTGAGCATGCAAAAATAGAGTGCTCTCCTCCTCCAGTCCTCTTTCAATACTTGCACATTAGCCTACAGCATACTGCAAATACATTGAATTCTACAGTGATTGCTCTGAACCCTCAGCTGGTAAACAACTATTAAAATCTTCTAATTTAACTTAGAAAAAAACTAGGGGTATTAACAGAATGTGAACTAAACTACCTTCTGCTGCTTCTCTTGTGCCTCTTTCTTACAAAGTCAGCTCTGGAGTGGTTTTTTTGGACAAACCTGTGTGTTTGGGGATGATGTTGACTGGGAAGAGGCAAAACCAGTGACTGATATTGGAAAAAAAGACTAATAACATAGATACTTTACAAAAATGAGCAGTTCGACACCCTTTCTTTCACTGGCAGTGTTGCTACAGCACAGACGTAAAACAAAAGTGAGAGCAGAATTTAACACCTTCAGTCTATACATAAAATTCAACTGCAGAAGAATTCCTGGGACAGCTTCATTCTTCCTCATTGTCAGCCTTGTTCTCTGCCTGCAACTATCTGGACAATTATTTAGCAGAATGCAGGTGATTTCAACCTCAAATCCTTGAAATGCATTGTGTCAAGTCTGTAGGATCAGACTCCTCTTCCATCTTGCAGAACTAGAAGAATTAAAAATTAGTTAAAATTTAGTTACTTTGGGTTTTTGGCTGGGGGTGGGGAGGGGGAAAGAAACATTCATGGATAGAACTGGATCCACGGTAAAGAGCTGTATCACAGAATCTGTCTGTCTGCTCCAGCAGGCCCACCACATGCTCAGGTCCATGTCCAGACAGGTTTTGGATATCTTGCAGGATGGAGACTCTACAACCTCCCTGGGCAACTGATGCCAGTGCCTGGTTGCTCTCACAGTGAAAAAGTGTTTCCTGATCTTCAGAGTATTTCAGTTTGTGCCCATTGCCTCTGGTGCTGTGAATCATACTGGATTTGCAAATGCTTTGTTTGCTCCTTTTGTTTTCCTGACTTAGTTAGAAGAAGTGAAGTATTTGAAGAATCAGCAGGATCAAAGTTAGAACTTTAGAAATAGTTTAAATATAAGGGGGATTAACTTTGATTTTAAGAAGCACTACCCTGCTTAGATTTGAAAAAGTTTGAATATGCACAAAGGATATAACTGGAAAGAATGTTAAAAGAAAATATTACCATCAGTTATGTTAGTAAAGTTTCTTTGCTGAAATCATATGACAATTTTAGATGGTAAGCTACTTTTTATAGAATGGAAGGACTCTCAAATCTGCATATTAAAGACTGAGACAGTCATATATGAAAAGTACTTTTTCTGAAGGAAGTTTCATATATGTGATTCATCCCTTTTTCATTAATTTCTGACTTGTGTTTTTCTCCTAAGAGACACAGGCCTTGCATTTTATAATGCAACCTATCTTTTAAGAAAGAATTTGACTGATAAAAAGAAGAAATAGCACAAAATTTTATTAAACAGATATTTCCACAAATAGCTTTATTTTACCAAGGATCTTGCAGGGCAAATAGGCCCCTAGCCAGCTGTGCACTACACTGAATAAAATACAGACAGCAATCCCTTCCTGAAGTATCTTTATAACATATAGATATATTAATAACTTGGCAGCCTTACCAACCAGGCTAAGGGCAGGGAATGGCTTGAAAAGCACACTGCTGAGAAACCCCAAGAGTGGCTCATTAATTTCAGAATTCTGCTGTGGCAGGCACAGCACAAGGGGCTTGTTTTGTTATTTTGAGTGATGACATTTGCTACATGACCAGAGTGATCCACCCCCTAGGGCTGTAGCTGGTGCATTTCATAGTTCAAGTACAGTGAATTCTACAGACAAGCTTAAATTTCTAATAAGTACACACTTTGGAAAGATGAGGCATCATAGAAACTGAACGTAAGATTCCTGTTGAGTTTCCCAATTTTTTGTTGTTTAGGATATGATTGTTTAACTGTATATAAGTAGCTCCAAAGCAAAGAATAGTATCTTAGTCTATTTGTCAAATTAAATTTCTTTTTTGCTGCTTTATCTGTGCTACTCTGTAGTTGGTCTTGCTGTAATCACTGGTTTTACATGGATGTGCTGGGAGGAACAGGAGTCCAGCTGTGGCTTCAGTGTGGTTCTGCAGTGGCTATAACTGGAACAGAAGCAGCCAGGGTTTTCATATACCAGGAAAATTTACAAATCAATACAACTTTCATTATGATGAGAAGCTGTCAAACTTCCAGGCACGTGCAGAGAAGCTCCTCATGTAAATCTAAGTCACCAGGTAAGAACCTGCAAATGTTCTTGGCAAGGGTATTTTTTCAATCAATATTTTACATGATTAAAAAGAAACACCCCCACTAGTTTCATGGATCTTTTCACAGAATTACAGAATATTCTGAGTTGGAAGGGACCCATAAGGATCATTGAGTCCAACTCTTAAGTGAATAGCCCACGCAGGGACTAAGCCCTGATGCTCTACCCAGTTGAGCTAATATCAGGGTTTTCCTGGGCATGCCACTTTTAGCTTTGATATTAGGGCTGATAGTGGAGCTATATTTGGAGGAATGGTGTGTCAGACTCTGTGCTTCCTATGTAAAATTTCAAAGGATCAAATGACTGCAACACGGGGTCAGCTGTGATTTTAAATAAGGGTGCAGATCTGTTCACTGCATTAATCCTAGTCTTTTTATTGGTTTTGCTTCCATTTTATGGAGGAAAAAGTTAAATGCATAAAAGTTTCCCTCTAAAAACTCCTCCTAAAGCAGGAGTTACTTTCTCAAGAGTTTGCCAGCTCCAGTTAGTCAGATTGACTGGCTGAGAATTATGATGAAACCCAAGATGTTCCACCTCAACATGAAGAATAATAATTTCTTTACATTGAGGGTGGCAGAGCACTGGAACAGGCTGCTCTGGGAGGTTGTGGATCTTCCTCTCTGAAGAATTCCAAACCCACTTGGACATGTTCCTGTATCTGCTGCTCTAGGAGACCCAACTCCCAGCAGGAGAGTTGGACTGGATAATCTCCAGAGGTCCCTTCCTACCCTAATGGTTCTGTGATTTTTCACTATTTTCATTAGTTCCAGAAAACAAATGCATTTATGAAATTTAGGTAATATTCTGGTCCACATCTGTACTATAAACACTGAAACACCTTCTGTAAACATCTGAAAACATGCTTTGGTGCAAATCCTTCAAAAGCGGAAAAATTGGAAATGTGAAAATATGTTCCCAGGGTTGTTTTTGAGAATATTACTTCCACTGCCCAGCTGACAGCTATATTCTTGGAAAAAGTTATTAACTTTTGAAAGGAAAAAAGAATATGTATTTTTATAAAGGATATGTTTAAAAATACCACTCAGGTTTCCACTAGAAAAGTTACCTTTTGTTTTACTATTTTTTTTTTCAGGAGGTTTCATTTTTGTAAAGGTGGGGCAAAATCAGAATAAAAATTACATTTCATCAAATTTTTTGAATTAAAAATTAGCCGGACTATTTGATAGTGTGCATCTGCCTTGTATTTGTTGCTATTTCAGACAAATCTGAATGGTTCAGCTTTTACTGGTCTTATTGCATCAAATACTTGAAGAGTTCTTTTTTTTTTTCCTTGTATCACTGAATACCAGCTGTATGTTTCACATACTTATACACCAGCATGTGAGCGTTTGTTGACACTGAACTAACCCTGTAATTGTCTGTGCTTGCTCCACTGCACTGGTTCAAGTGTTTTTAAAGTACTGGAGATATGCTGGAAGTATTCGGCCGGGCTCAGGGGCAGCAGGCACTGCTCAACTTGTGGCTGAGCTGCCTCTGGGGAAGTGAGTAATACTGTATGTGCCTTCCTGCCTCCGTTTTGCTGTCTTTATCTGGACACACAACTCTGGCACAGAGCAGAAGGTCGCTTTCCAAGTTTCTCGCGGGGGGTGTGCAAGCGCGCCGTGCCCAGCACCGGCGTTCTGAAGCGAACCCGCCTCTGACAGCGCTGCGCAGGCAGACCCGCATTCCTCCGGGGCCGGCAGGAGAAAGTTAAATCTCCACCGAGGGCGCGCTCCAAGCGTGGCTGCGGGGCAAAGGCCCCGTTCCTGGGCCCGTCCTGCGGAATTCCGGCGCTGGAGCTCCGCGGCGTCCCAGCCCGTTCCGCTTTTCCCTCCGCCGACCCCCGCCCCGGGCTCCGGCCGCCGCCGCCTGAAGGAAACTCGCGTTGCCCTGGCCGAACTCTGCCTCGGCCCGGCGGCTCTGCGGGGCGGGCGGGCAGTGCGAGGGGCCGGGGCTGAGCGGGGCCGCCCCTCCGGGCGGGGGTGAGGCGCCTCCCGTCTCCAGTGCGGGAACGCCGAGCGCCGCCGGGCTCGCCTGGCCGGCAGCCACACAAAGCGTGGCTCTCCCCTCCCTTTGTCTGCGTGGCTTTGTCTCCTCCGTCCCCTCCCCGCGGCGGGCCGGGACTTTTTCCCCAGCCCCCCCCCGCTCCTGCGGCCACCGCCGTTCTCCCCCTTTTGTGCCACCTGCGCGCCGTGGGAACGGCCGCTCGCCCAATCCCGCTCCGGCCGCGGCCGCTCCGCCAGCGCCCGGCCCGCACAGGTGCAGGCGGGCGGCGCCGGGGAGCGCGCGGTCCGCGCGCGGGGCTCGTCCCGCCGCCGCCCCTCGGCAGCGCTTCACGCGGGAAGCAGGGAGGGAGGAACACAGCCAGAGAGCGGCGCGCGGCGCTCCGCATGGAAGGTGGAGAGCGCGCGCGTGGGGCGAGCGGAGGGGAGGGCGGGCGCGCGCGCGCGGGCGGGGCCCGGCGATATAACCCTTGCGGAGCTGCCTGGGAGACCCCGGGTTTTGGGGCTGCGCCAGCGCGCGCGGCGGCGCCTCCTCCTCCTCCTCCTCCTCTTCTCTTCCCTCTCCCCCCGCTCCGCTCCCGCCCGCCCTCCGCCCGCCCCCCCCGCGCGGAGTGGAAGGGGCCGGGGCTGGTGCCAGCAGCAGCAGCAGCAGCGGCGTGAGCGCTCGAGCGGCCGCCATTTTACGCCAGCTCCAGCAGCAGCACTGCCCGGACACACCGCCGCGGGAGCGCGGAACGGGGGCAGCGCCTCAGCACGCCGAGCCGCGACCCGCGCCCCGAGAGACCCTTCGCACACGGCGGTTCTCACCCCGCAGACACACACAGGTCAGGGCGGCGGGGCGCTGGCGGGGTGGGAGCGGGCCGGGTGGCAGAGCGGGCTGAGGCGGCGGAGGGCGGGAGGCGCACGCTGGGGCCCTGCAGCGCTCTGGGGCCGGGGCGCTGCGCGATGGGTGGAGGAGCTGCTGGCGCTGCCTTCGTGGCCGCCGCTGTCGGGCGGGCGGGGGGCGGCCGGGCCGGTGCGCGGCCCCGGCGTGGCGGCCGCGGCCGAGGCACCACCCGAGCCGGGCCGGCGCGGGGCGCGTGGCTCCCGCCTTATTGTCCCGCCGGCCCCGCCGCTCCATTCATTGCCCGTGAGGGGCAGGGGACGAGCCGCGGCCTCGGTGCCCGGCGTGTGCGCGGGGAGCGGGGCCGCCCGGGTTCGGCGTGGCCCCGGTCACGTCGGGAGGCGGTGGGCGATGGGCAGCGGTGTTTCCTGGCTGGGAAACGGGGCCTTGCATTGTTCCGGACGGCAGTGTGGCCGGGAGGCGGCGGCGGGGCCGGGAGGCTCCGCGAGCTCCGGGCCGGGTGGTGAAATCGGGCCCGGGGTGTTGCAACCCGCTCTCCGGGGGGAATAGGGTGAGAGGTGGGGAATGGCCGGGGCTCCGGGCGGGGGGGAGCCGCTCCTCCCGCGGGAGTGTTGCGGGGAGGGGGGGAAGTCGGTCACTGGAGGAAGTTGTAGGACATCTGAACGCGCGGAGCACGTGTTTCCATCGGGCTCATGGCCGCCGCCGCCGTGGGTGGGTGCGGGCTGGGAAGAGCGCTTTGTTCCTCTCGCTTGCCCGGCCGGCACCGAAGTGGAGGCGGGAAGGGATCCCGGCCGCGCCCGGGGCCTGGAGAGGCGGCGGGAGCCGAGGGACAGCGAGTTTACAGCGGGCGGTGGAGGCGGCAGCGAGTGTCAGTGACGGTATCGCGGTGCATGTGGCAGGTCCGCTCGTCCTGCCACCCCCGCTCTTGCCTTTTTGCTCCATTTCTAACTTGTTCAGAGTGTCTTGGGGAGTGTGTTAGAGAGAGGGGAGGTGAGTCAGTGTCTGTCTGGGTTGTGTAAAATCGGCAGTGAAAGCTACCGCACCCCCCCCGGCAGTGGTGGTAGGGCTTTCCTTTGTGTTAGTGCTTCTTGTGAGGAATTTCCTGCGCCTTGCAAAGCTAAAAAAAAAAAAAAAGAAAAAGTGTCAGGGCGGTGATTTTCTATTTTTTAATATTTTTTTTCTTATGACTTTAAAAGAACAGGGTAGTCTATTGCATGTATTGTCACTTGAATTGTTCTACCTGAAGATATGTCTAGCTTAATTTTGATGCTTATTGCATTTGAACAGATATCTGGAAACATGGCTACTGAACATGTTAATGGGAATGGTACTGAAGAGCCCATGGATACTTCTGCTGCAGTTACCCATTCTGAGCATTTCCAGACATTGCTTGATGCTGGTTTACCACAGAAAGTTGCTGAAAAACTAGATGAAATTTACGTTGCAGGTAAGATCTAAGACTTGCAAAGCCACACATACAATAGTTTGTTGGATACTGCTGTCTTTGGGCTAAAATAGCAACTTTTTGTGGTTTCCAAAAGTATGGGAACTGCAGTCTTACCAAAATCTGGATGTTTTAGACTCAGTATTTCAATTTACTGTAGTATCTTTCAGAGGAAAGTTCCAGGCTACTTGGGCTGATGGGTGGGAAGAAGTATGCAGGGTACAGGAGCAACAGCTGGGATAGGCAACAGATGATTTTTAGGAGGAGCAGGTGACGTGGTCTTTGTGCGGTTTTTTGCGGTAATTGTAAGTAACAGTAAGAAACTAAAGCCTTGGTTTGCATCTTTTTGTGTAAGTGATACTTCCTGACATGGTGTTTGGGCTCATGGATGCAGAAGTTATGGTGCTGGTTTTTTCAGATGTGGTGATAGCCAGCATTTTTTAAGCTTGGTTTTTGGAGCATGATGGCCATTTTTAGTGCCGCAGTTTATTTGTATTTATAGTCTTCTAAAAGTGTACCAAGGTACAAGGCAAGCTAAGTCAGTCTTTGGTAGGTTTTGATAGACTCCTCTGAATTCAGCTTCAGGATATTGAAATTAAACTTGGCCCATGTAACACCTGGGTTTCACAGAAGTCAAATGAACACATAAATGTAGTAACTTTTACTCTGAGTCCTATCTCTTTCTGGTTTTAATTAAAGGATTACATATCCTTTAATATTTAACTTCAAAGGAACTAAATGGTTTTTTATGCACAGTAACTTACTTTAATCAGTAATTGATTTAGAGGTCACTGAAATGTGTTAGGGATGCTACATTAGGTTTTACAAAGATTACTGACCAAATATAATTAGTAATTTTTTTTTCCTTTTCTTTAGGCCTAGTTGCACATAGTGATCTAGATGAAAGAGCTATTGAAGCTTTAAAGGAATTCAATGAAGAAGGTGCACTGGCAGTGCTTCAGCAGTTTAAAGACAGTGATCTCTCACATGTTCAGGTAACATTTAGCAATTTACAGTATAATTGTTGAGGGATAAACTGTTAGTTGTCTGGGAAGAGGTCTGAGTCTCTTCAGTGATCCACGTGTGCTATGTGAAGTGAACACTATTAGTTCAAGGTAAAAGGAAATTCTGGCTTGTCATGTTTTCAGAACTGAAGATTGTATCTTTTGCAGAACAAAAGTGCCTTTTTATGTGGAGTCATGAAGACATACAGGCAGAGGGAAAAACAGGGGACCAAGGTGGCAGATTCTAGCAAAGGACCAGATGAGGCAAAAATTAAGGTATGTCAGTAAAAGTTAGAATCATGAGGTCTACCTTTTGTTTGTTTTTCTGAGTTGTTGTGATAGTTATGTTGGTTGTTTTGGAACTGTGCTTTTTAAAAAAAGATTATTACAGATTATTTGTCATATTTGTCACTGTTGAAAGCTGTCACTTGAAATTTTGTCTTGCACTTCTTCCTTTTCAAGTATAAAGTTAATATATTGCTGGAACTGAACATAAAGTGAAAAAGGTTTCACAATTTGCTCTATGTCTTATTGAGACAGTTACTCTATTTCGCAGTAAAAAGTTTGTGCATACTTGTCAGCATAGTTACTCAAGTTCAAAATGCATAAGTTCAGCTACTGCTGATTGTTTTTTGTGTTCTGGTTTTTTTTGTTGTTGTTTCCACTCCGCCCCCTTAGTTCAGATTTACAGCATCTCCACAATAGAGAGGAGATACCACATTTCTGACAAAACAGACTGTAATGGATTTAGGATTTAGGCCATTTGTTATGACATAATCACTCTGCTCATAAACTGTACCCTGAACTGTCTTAATGGGTAAATTATTTTTTTGACCATGTCTGCTGCTAGCAAGAACTCCTTTCTCAAGAGTTAGGCATATAATGATTTATTTGAAAATACTGCAAACTGTACCCCAAACTGTCTTAATGGGTAAATTATTTTTTGACCATGTCTGCTGCTAGCAAGAGACTCCTTTCTCAAGAGTTAGGCATATAATGATTTATTTGAAAATACTGTGATTAGCAACTTTACCAAAGCTTAAGGGAAGGAAAACCATCAAAGCATGTTTAGGTGATGTCGTAAAAAACCCCAAAGAATCTTCTTTGACACTTCATGTATATAGTATAAAATGATTGTTACAAATAACTGTGTACCCTGTAAAATTAGAAGATCTTTTTTTCTCTTTGAGGCTGAGATGCCATTAATTATAAATTAAAAAAAAAAACCTGGTGCAGTTTTTGTCACTTCCACATAAAATAACAATATTATGAGGACTTGGTTAATAACTCCAAGTAGCATGGGTTTTACTGCTGATGGCTCTAGCATTTAAAATAACTGCAATTTTGTAGCTGTAAAATTACTAACTCTTGACTATAATTTGGCTTGTTTAATATGCAGTTTCTTTGTATGTAGAGTTGATTTGTCTTTATACAAAATTATTATGAAAGACTTAATTTCAGAGGAGTTTCTCATGTGTTTGCATACTGAATGTCAGCTAACATTTTAAGTTGGTATTATGCCTGTAACTATATCTGACTATATCTATAACTACATGCAGTGGTTGTAGTGAGGGTTAGTTGTCCTGGGATCCTGTATATAAGCCCACAAGGAATTGGAAGGGGGGATGATAAGGGAAAGGAAGTAGTACTACCACTTTGGTGGTTGGGTACCTGAAGCAGTCTGTACAGTGTTCCAGGGGTGTAAGCACTTAAACATGTGTTCTTTACCTTCACACTTATGAGTAATCTCATTAAGTGCAGGGAACTCTTCTGCATAAACGTCTGCAGGATTGGACATGCCAAAACAAGAAGTGGCTCAGACTAAGATCTTCCTAATTAAAGGGAAGCCTCTGTTACTATTATATTACTTGGCTTTTTTTTTTTTTAATGAAAATGAAGGAATTGGGAAAACTGGATGTGAATCTCTAATTTTCTAGCAGCATTTCTTTACCTAATAGTTCTGTTAATTGTTTTGCAAGTTTCTTGTTGAAGTACCAGCAGTAGATTTGTTTGTAGGAGCTTCAAAGCAGTACAGTTGAAAAGGAATTAGAAGCATGTCTGTCTGTGAACAAAGTGCAGCTAAACTTGCTCAGTTTGTATGTGATTTTAAAATTTAAAGTTTTTTACTTGAAGGCACTGTTGGAGAGAACTGGCTACACTCTTGATGTGACTACTGGACAGAGGAAATATGGTGGACCTCCTCCGGAGTCTGTATATTCTGGACAGCAACCTTCTGTTGGTACAGAGGTAAGAAGGAGAAGATGTTTATGCAGATGTAGACTTCCTCATTGGAAATACTTTTTATGAACAGTGCTTTGTATGTCTGTTGTAGATATTTGTGGGCAAGATTCCGAGAGATTTGTTTGAAGATGAACTTGTTCCATTATTTGAGAAAGCCGGACCTATATGGGATCTGCGCTTAATGATGGATCCACTAACTGGTCTAAACAGAGGATATGCTTTTGTCACTTTTTGTACTAAAGAAGCAGCTCAGGAAGCTGTTAAACTGGTAAGTTTTCTTGGATTTTTTTCTTTTTTGTTGAAGTGCACTCTGGCTCAGATGCAGTTGTCCTCTTCATCCTAGTGCTTAAATGCTTAAGGTGAAACTGTTACTGTTAGATTACTTCATAATTTCCACTAGGTGTTAAATTTATTTTCTCATTGCATATGAAGATTTTCTGACTGCATTAGGGACAGGGGAAAAAAAAACAAACTGATGGACTGCTCTTTGGTCCAGTTATATGAGCCTTTTATTAACCAAAGTTGTATTAGCAGTAGTGACTTCTGAGCTGTCTGCATCTGTGTGAGTTCTGGAGAGCAGTGGTGTTGGAGTTGCTGTGGTACAAGGGCAGTGCTGGTCAGGGTGCCTCTGACTCCTGATGTGTTTCTGCACCAGCAGGGGGCCCGTGCTGGAAAAGTGCTTCAAAGTCACAGAATTTTATAAGATACTTCACATGGGGAAAAAATGTCTCTTGAGCATTGAAGGTCTGTTCTGTTTGCTGCAGCTGACAGGAAAGCATCATAAATCCTGCCAGGCTAAGGAGCATTCCCTCTGTTTTACACAGAGGTAGGAAATAGTTTGTTATAGTATACTCCTAATAAGCTTCTCAGGTTTTATGTGTAAAGTACCCATCACTAAAGAAGAGGGTGGGGAGAAACACTACCCTTATCCTTGCACAGCGCCTTTATTTGCCTTGGCTAACTTAAATTTGAATTTTTTGAGTTGGGTACTGCTGCACTGATACGGCCAAGATTAGTGTGTGGTATGACTCGTGAGTGCTAACCATACACATTCTGAAGTGTACTGACACTGTATTGCTGTAGTAGGGCTAACTAAAAACCTTGGTTTGTAATGAGCTATAAAACTAAGGTACCCTATTGACATATTAGTCAGTTGGTGGAGACAAATCAAGCTGAAAATGGGAATTTGTTTTGAGAAAGCACAGAACTATCTGCAAAAGTGGAAGTACAAAACCAATGTGGTATATGCTGATTTAGCTTTTTAAATAAGAACAATTGGTTGTTCCAGTGTGAAGTTAGATATACTGGCGATAACTGTGCGTTCTCTTTGTACTTTTCATTGTCAATCTAGCTGTTCAGAGTGTGTGTGAACTCTTAAGAGTTCACTCTCAAAACTTAGTGGAACTGTGAATCAAATCACATAAGTTTCTCAGAGTAAATGAAAAAAACCCAATTTTTCTTCATTAAGCTGGATTTTGCTTAAAGGCAGCATGCTCTGGAAAGTCATTCAAGTCATGTTTCCAGAAAAGTAACATCTGATCCTAACCTTAGTCTTGTACTAAAGGATACAGGGGAAATAGATACTTGATGTCCCTTTATGTCTGATCTTTGATATGCAGGAAAAAAGCACACTGTGTTCTGCTTGTGAGTTAAATAGCCGCTGAGAGTAATAGCTGAGAAGTGTTGCAGTTGATGGAGCAGTCTTTCAACTTCCTTGCTAAACTTGTAGAAAGTAGTTAGTCTTAAATTGGATTCTGTGATTTGTGTCAGGTTTTTTCGGAGTGATTTCAAGCATAGTTTACGGGCTAGTTTGGTATATAAGTTTCCCAAGTTAACTGTAAGTGGTTTGCAGGTGTATTAGCAAATTGTGGCTGTTGAGTTCAGTTGAAAATTGTAAGTCTATAACTTGTATTACACATGCATGTAGTTACACATGCATGGGAGAGACTGCTGAAAGACCTCTTCAAAACATTGAACTCTTGATCCTAGCCATTTTCATAACCTTTTATTTTAACAGGTGGTGTTCTTTTTGATATTGCCTGCAGTCTTCTCAGGTGTATGCAACTTCCTAGCTTTCTGGACTCCTTGGGATAATGGTTCTTCAGTTATTTCCCATCTTTTTCCAAAAGGCCTTTTTTTTTTTTCCCTTCAGGACAATATAGAAAAAATGAGATTAAAAGTTCTCTCCATTGCCTATAGGCTTTTGAGTAATAAGAGACAGCTATGTTTTTGTCAATACCAAACTACAGTAGGGAATTACTTGTCTTCAGGCTTTTGGAGTTCGTGTAACATATTTTGTATACGGTTAATATTTGTGTGTCTGCTGTATGTATCTTCCAAAGTCTGTAGGTCAACTTAATGTAAAACTGATCTAAAACTTCTGGAGACACTAAAATGTTGACTTACTTTATTTGTTAACAAGAAGTCGTCTTGCAGTTTAAAAGGTTGACATCTTGATTTTGTTTATGCATATGCATTTTTAAGCCACTTATAATTAATTACTCTTCATATCTGTAATTCTTCTCAGTATCAGGCCTAGTATCACTCCATTTTTGTCTTAAGCACAGCCAGAACTATTTTAAACTCAATTTAGGGAATTCTCTTCTGTTTTTGTGACTAGTATTTAAGTGGTTAGCCCTTTGCTAGTTAAGTAGAGATGGTAGAGTAGTGAGGTTCACACAAGCATTCACTCTCAAAGTGTGATTTTTTTTTTTTAATCTCAGTCACTTTTTCCCCTGTTAACATGTTTGCTTTATACTGTTTAAGAATTACAATTCTGGTAGTGTTCCTTTGCACACATGTTCAGTGCTTCCTATTTCATAAGAAGTTGCTAGAGTTAAGTTTTTCTGTGTGAATAAAGTCACTGTAGATATGTACAAAATAAAAACTTTTGAGGTGAAGCTTGTAGGAAAACATACTGAAAACTATTGAAGCATTCAGTATATTTTTGACTAGAACAGGTGTAAGCTTGATCAGAGTGGAAGTACAGGTGAGTTAAGCAGTTTGTCAACTATGCATGGAGGTACAGCTTGCCATTTGCTCCTAGTAAACCAAAATTGGTAGTGAAAATTTAGGTTAGTAAAGTGACAGGACAGACCTGCATATTTTGACTTGTTAGTGAGTAAGTTCTTACATAAGTCAGAAAAAACCAAAACTATTACATTTGTCTAGAGGGTGACAATCTCTGCTACTGACTTCAGACACAGATTCCATGGTGACAGGAGGGGGAAGCAGTATGCTGACATAGCTGCTTTGGTAGCCTGACTGTTTTGGCACTTTACCCAGATCATGATCTGAGCCTTTTTATGGCTAATCAGAGTTTGCAGATGGTATGCAATGTATTTACCTAAAAATTACCAACTTGACGGTCAAGAGCACCTAACTGAAAACTGTTTTCTCTGTGTAGAAAGAAACATGCAGTGAAAATAGTGGTTAATACATTGGAGGATGAAAAAACTACTAGAAACTATCAGTGGAACTGCAAAATGGTAGAAAATATTAATTTCACTTTGTTAAATTTACTCTCATACAGCATACTGAGTTGTATGAGAGACTCTTACATTAGATCAGATTAGATGTGTAGCCAGACTTTGGTGTTAACACTTTAGCAGGAATAGTTGGATAAGACTTTCTACTATCCATATAGAATAGAGTATTTAATTTGAAAGGGATCTGCAACAATCATCTATTCCATCTGCCTCACCATTTAATGGCCGACCAAAATTGTTGCTGTCATCTTGATCATCAAGGGCATTGTCCAGATGCCTCTCTTAGACCGTGACAGCTTTGGGGCATTGACCACCTCTCTGGGAAGCCTGTTCCAGTGTTTGAGTACCCTAGCAGTAAAAAAAAATTCCTAATGCAAGGAACTGTTTCCTAGGGTACAGTTCAGTTAGTGAAGAATCACTTTCATAGAGCAATAAATTGTCAGCTTCTTTAAAGGTATTTCTTTAGAAGACTCCTTTTTTTAGCTACTATAATGTCTCTTCATTAATGTGTATGTTTATTAGTGATGATAATATATATGCAGCCTTCCTATGCAGCTAGCGATTCTCCTACTTCAATTTCCTACTTAAAAATCAACTATTCCTTTGCCACATGGGCAATAGATATGGAGGTAGAAGTCCTTTGTTGTCTCCTGCTATGTTTTGAGACATAATTCATTGTGAAGATGTCACTCTGCATCCTTTTCACATGTACAGTTCTCCTTTTTGCTCACTTTTGGTGCAGTTACCTAGCTTAGAAAATTTTCAGTAGTGGAGTTTTTGTTTGCTCAAGATAAATAGAAAGAAACATCTTCCACCAGATTTTATTGCCTAAAAAGCATGATAGGGTGGAGGATAACTAGCTTATGTAGTAAGTTTTACCATCAAGTACAAAGTAAATAATAGAATAAATAGCTAGATGAAATTCTAAAAATGTGTCCTGCTACTTGGCAATAAGATGTTGACCACAAAATTCATTTAGCAGAAGAGCTGTCTGTTGCAGGGCTTCCAGCTAGAAGTGGGTTGATACACCAGCAGTTGTCCTCCCTGCTGCTTATTTGGATGATGCATGTCTGTGTCTGCATCTCAATGAAAGGCATTTTTTGATGTTTTCTTAACATCAAAAGATGTCTACAGTAATACTTTTTTTTCCCCCTTAAACTGCTGACTTGCTCAGGGTATCTTCTAGATGTTATGGGAGAAGCATTTTAACAGAAGTCTTAGGATTTCAAATCATGAGAAAGTTGTTCTTGCTGTTGACTGTCTTTAAATGTGTAATGTTTATGCTTTGGAAAGTATTTGCCAGTTGCTCATGAACATATTGTGGAGAAGACCCGATCACAACTCTCTTTTGTTAACTGTGGAGCTTCAGAAGGGAATTTGACTTTAATTGCAACTCATGTCTTGTATTACACACAAATCAAGAATTTATAGCTACAGTCTGTAGAGGAACTTGCATTTTTTTCTGCATGGTTGTAAAGGGAGAAGGCTTGACCTTGATGACTTGCATGGTTCTGTATGAAAAAGTTTCTAAAGAAAAAAGTGTTGAGAGACTTAAGGAAGGAAGAATAATTGTTGGCTGAAATTGTAGAGATACTTTAGAAAACGTGTATACTTCAGAGTAGTTAAATATGCATTGTAAAAATGTGTTAAGTTGCAAAAATTTAATATATCACTCAATTCTGAGTTTTCCAAAGTTAAATATTTGGTATGCTCTGTTGCAGGCATGAAAATTATTTGTAACTGATGATTGTCCAATAATTTTTTTGTTGCAGTACAACAACCATGAAATTCGGTCTGGAAAACACATTGGTGTATGCATCTCTGTTGCCAATAATAGGCTTTTTGTTGGCTCGATTCCTAAGAGTAAAACCAAGGAGCAAATTGTTGAAGAATTCAGCAAAGTAACAGGTGAGTCAGTGACTAGGTTTCATAGAGCTGGAAAGTGTCAAATGTAGTCAGTGATGAGCTGTCTTTTAGCTTATAGTTGAATGATGATGAGAACAAACTGAGCCAACTCAGCATTTACTTCAGTATTGTAGGTTGGGGTTTGTTTGGGTTTTTTTAAAAACTGTTGCCTTGCTGAGGGCTGAGGTATTTGTAATTAGACTAGATGGATGGTTCTAAGCTCTACCTCTTGAGTAAGTGTATAATGTTTAAAAATCTGTTCAAATAAATTTGAATTAAAAGTTCAATAATTTCTGTACTAATGGATGTTTTAAAACTTCTCAAGGCAAAACTGAAGCAAGCAGAAGAATATAACTGGTTCTGTGCTTTATAATTCTTAAATTGTAAGAATATTTTTGATAACATTTGAATTCTGTTATTGAATTACAGACTTCAGGTTCTTTGGAGCAATAAACTTTTTAGGTATTGAAGTCATGCAACTTTTCTCTCTTGTTGTTTAGACATTATGGAGAAAATACACACTGATAGGTGTTGTAACTTAGGGGTTTAAGAGAAGAATTGACAAAGCAAAACTTTTGGCTGCCCGAATTCTCCTCCATTCAGTTATTCTTCCATAGCTACAAAGACAACCCGCGTTTTATAATGCAAATCAATGGATTGAAAGCATAACAAATAAATATTTTATTTCATTTCAGAGGGTCTTACAGATGTCATATTGTATCATCAGCCTGATGATAAGAAAAAGAACCGGGGTTTCTGCTTTCTTGAATATGAAGATCATAAAACTGCTGCTCAGGCCAGACGTAGGCTAATGAGTGGCAAAGTGAAAGTCTGGGGAAATGTTGTTACAGTGGAATGGGCTGACCCTATAGAAGACCCAGATCCTGAAGTCATGGCAAAGGTAATAAAGCCATAAGGGGACCATAGTGCATTTAAAGTGCTCTGTTCCAAAGTAGGTATTTCCTGGAATTAGCCTAAAATTAAATAACATCTTTTTAGCCTTCTTGACAGAGATGTAGGTGTGATGATAAGAAATTAATATACCTCAGGAATTATGTGGATTTAAGAACTCTATATGGCCTTATATTATTTTGTGTTCCCACGGCTGAATAGTGAATGTAATTCTTGCCAAAATGACATATATGATGATGTAGTTAATTTTTTACCTGGAAGTAATGGTGTTGACTTCTAGAGTTGAAATGGTTTTGTATCCTAGTATTTGGAAGGACAGAAAGAGAGATATCCTCACATAACAGCCTTCATTCTTTTTAAACCTGGAACTGTATCACTTCAGCATGAGAAAGGACGTGTGAGTGTTGAAACGTACACAAATGTATCTTCAAACTTGCTATTAGCAGTTACTTCTGAGAAGTTCAGTAATTAGCTTGTTTTTGGAACTCAGTAGTCACTTTTAATTTGGAGGTGTTAATTCCTTTTAATACCTAGCCTGGCAATATTTTGGATTTTGAATATTGAGGTGAAGCTGAAGTCTGGACTGTTAAGATTTTGAAGTACATTGTAGCAGTTGTTTTATATATATGTGGCTGGTATCTTGCCAGAAACAAACGACCTGATTTTTTTTTCCCATCAGATATTGCCCGACCCTGTCTTTTCAGTTGTGTTGTGTAGCTGAGTTGTTTAATGGAAACTCTTAGCTAGCCCATATCCTTATCTCTTTCTCTTTGCTTGCTTTTCGTCTGTGCTTTTACTCTCATCTGAGACACGTCACTTGCTGGAGTCCTACTTTGATGGACCTAGTAAGATAGCTTGGCTGGGATCTCCTCTTTGGTGAGCCATAAGGGAAAAGGGTTGGGGTGGGGGCTCATTTTAGGGAAAAAGCTGCTTTTGTAATACAGGTATTACAGAAGCTTTTAGACTATCTTGTCTGCAGACTTTATTTTTCTTGCCCAGCATGATAGACTGTCAGCAATAGAGAAAGAGTCTTGCAGGTCAAATTTGTGGAAGGTGGCACTTCCTAAATATGGCAGCCTGTATGTTTAGTTTCTTGGCTCAAAAGAGAAGAGACCTAGTCCACCAAACTGTTAAAATAAATAAGCAGCAATTTCTGCTGATATAACAAAATAGATGGGAAGGAAATGTTAGGGGACATAATCAAGCACCGCTCCTAAGCAAGTTTGCAGATGTGCAGAGTGAAAAGCTAAAGAAATTAAAGCTAAGCTTGATTGTGGTTTGCTCCATTTACAGTTTTTTTTGAATGTGTTAATACCTTCTATTGTTTTGTATTTGAAATGGGACATGAAAAGAGAAGAAACATGGAAATGAAGGAAAGAAGTGTAGGAAACATGGATAAAATCAACTTGAATACATCTGGTGCCACATGGCAAAGATAGACATGAAGTTTGTGTTGAAGATGTATGGAAAAGTGAGGCTCTATGAATAATACTGAAAAAGTAGAGAACATCTGGGTTGTGTCTGAAGACAGAAACTGAGATGATAATTGGTGTCTGACCTTCCTCACTGGCTATGTCCTTTAGTTTATTCTTGCAACAAGGAAAGTCTCTACTCCAGTCTTTCTTGGCCACCTGCTGTACCTGTGCAGAAGGTGACTTTATCTGGCCCTTCTCTAAGTGTAAGGTTTATTTTCTGTTCTTGGTATCTTTCTTCTAAGAGAAGGAGCAGCAGAGCTGCTGCTGCAGTCGGTAATCTCCTGGATGTGAGCTGCAGATTGGCTGTCAGTGCTTCTGACTGCTGTCAGTCCAGAGCAAAGGGAAAGCTACTGACCCATGTCGTCTTGCACATTGCTATGGTAGAAGGCTCTGGAGGACACTGTGACTAGGATAAGTAGGTTATTTTTATCAGAATAATCATCTGGTCATCAGTTTTCTTGTCAAGACTGCTAGAAAAGCAAGTCCATAAGAGCAAGCTATAAGGAAGACAAATTCACTTATGTAGCCAGAAGGTGAACAATGTTCTAAATCTTTCAGAAGCAGCATGTCGTTTCATCCATATATGGACACTTACTAATTTAAATTTCTGAAACATCTACTCCAGTCTTTTTTCCTTTGTCCTTCTGATAAAATGTTGTGGAGAGTACTCTATGGATAAATATTATCATTTAAATGGACTGTTACCTTCAATACAAAGTAGCTTGGGCATGATGAGAGATGAAGCTAGATTGTCAAACTAGATGGGTGTGCTACAGGAGATAAGTGCTTTTACTAACAGATCAGAGTATAATTGGTTAAGGTATTGACTTCTGGTCCAAAGTGAACTTTTTTCCAACTGCACAAACAGCTGTGTTGATAGTTTAATTTCGCCTAAGTGTCATTTTGTTGCCTCTTACACCTGTAGTCTAGCTAAATTTATTAATGTTTTACTTGATTTCTGTAGGATGGCTGAGGCTGCAGAGGACGTTCTGGAGTGGCAGGTTAAGCAGCTAAATAAAGTCTTATGCTTGTGGCTGTCTGGCAGATTACAGGACAAGAGACAGGGCTAGTATCCCTTGGAGAATGTGGCCTGAAGTGTTTGTGCTGTAGGTAAGAGGAGGAAAAGGAGCAGATACCAGAGGTTTTGGGATAGTCTAATCTTAAGCAGTTTTTTAAATGTGAGTTCTGCCTTGAAAACAAAATGCTGGTGCTCAGTATATTGCTTGTTACAAGTATCTGTGGATTCTTGGTGTAATAATATGTGAGCTTTCATGAAGATGATTTCTTTTTTTTCCCACTTCCCTCCCTTTTTAGCTGGCTTAAGTGAAGTAAAAATGGGTTCATCTTCTCTCACCCTATGCTTTAACCTGCCTAATAGCTTTTACATCATCTTTGACTCATTCAGTTACACTTCTAATCAGTAACATGAGCAAAGGTGTTAAAAATTCAGCTGTTAGAGATTAATGGATTTGTCTACACTGGGAAAATTTAAATTAGTTGGTTTTTTATTTCTTTAAAAAAACCTGTATTGGTGCATCTTTTAAAAATAGTGATTATTCTGTCTAGTTTTTAATTGTATGTCAGTCATCATGGATTTATTAGGCTACTTAGAGTTCCTTGTGAGGTTCTAGTTTTCATCCTTTTCTAAAGAACAAGAATATGGAACATTTGTTTAAAAGTTAGTGGTTTTCAAACCCATTGATTACGTCACAAAACTTCCTGTAATTCATTTCCATGGCATAAGGTTAAGGTAGCAGTTAGAATATTTTACTAAAAATGGTTGTTATGTATGTGTTACAATAAATAAAGGTTGTTCTTACCATCAAGACATGTAGGAGAAGCTTAATACATAATAGGAAACAGCGTTCCTTGTGGAGTTGGCTCTGACTTTTATGATCTCCTGAGATTCAGCTGGAGTAACTATTGCCAAAGTCTAGAGTTGATACACTGGGTTAGATTTATGGTCTGTAGTATGCCTTCTTCCAAATCTGCATCCTATCCTAGTTCAGCTAGTGAGTGAGACAGATGTAACTTAGTTACATAGCAGTTCCTCCAAAAAGGGTGTCTGAGTTTATTGGAATCCTGTATGTGCTTCAGAAATCAATGCATGCTTTCCTTGGTCCTTTCACACCTTGTGTTGACCTTCAGAGTCAGGAGTCAGTGCTGCCGTGTGCAGTGTCATTTGATGTCATCAGCTAATTTGAAACCAGTAGGAGCAGAGAGGATGTAAGCAGAAGTTACAGGTCTTGCCGCTGATTGGCAGCACCATTGTAGGCAGGTAGGACTGAGCATTCCTTGGCACTAGGAGGTGTGTGGTGCCAGCATGTGGAAGGAACTCTCCTCAACAAGTTGGAAGAGTCTTAAATTGTGAGAGCGCATGGGTGGCATGATGTAAACATGCTCATGTCCAGTCATTAAGGCCAGCCTCAGCATGGACACAAGGATTAATTTTTCAATTTTGTCGGGTCACTAATAGGTGATTCCTGCTTTCCAGTATCTGTTGTCTGCTATGTTAATTAAGGGTTTATTTTAAGCTTTTGTCAGACTGCTCTAGATTTTCCCTTATCTTGTGCAGGTGGTGATTGATGAAAATTCATATTGATGATTTAATCCATGTCAGGCAGTCAAGAGTTGGATGATTAGTTGCCTTTCTGATTTTAGAAGCTGTGGAGCAGTCTTTGTGTAGCTTAAGAGTTATATTGCATTCTGTGGTGAGCCAGGGGAGGGAATAAACTTCCACTGTTATTTGGGGGTGACTCTTCCTCAAGGGATCATCACAGTTTGACTTGAGAAAGCTGAAGGGTAACTGGCCAGTGTCAGCCTTAGTACCCCCTCTGTCTGCAGTTCTGTCTTTCAGCAGTGGCTTCGGGTCACTGAGTGCCCCTTAGGCAAGCACAGTCCTGACATTAGGTGTTTGGTGTAGCATGGGAACCACAAGTTAAGCAGCTTGAAAGCTGCAGGCCTGTCACCTCTGACCTAGATATTACAGTGATGACTGTTCTGCAAATAACTGAGCTAAAGCCTGTCTAAACAATTAAATGTTTTGATTAGTTAATTGTTTTGTATGTAACCAATTCTGGTTACCTTCTCTCAAGTTTGATAGTGTTCTGGGTTGAAGATAACAGCTGGTAGGATCTTTTTAAACACTAACACAAATTGGATTGACTTTCAGGATACTAATACTTATGTAATCATGTTTGATAACAGATTAAATATTTCTGTCAGGGAATTTTGGAGCTAACTCATGCTGTGTGACTATGTGTACATATTCCATGTGTATATAAAATGCTGTACAGAAAATGTAATGGTGTTTCTTCAGTGTTGCCAATAGCAGTAACTTGCAAAGCTTCATTTTGTGTTTTGAAATTAGATCATACTCCTAAGTCCTATTTTTTTAATCCTCCTTAGGTAAAAGTTTTGTTTGTACGCAATCTTGCCAATACCGTAACAGAGGAGATTCTAGAAAAGGCCTTCAGTCAATTTGGAAAGCTAGAACGAGTGAAGAAACTAAAAGACTATGCTTTCATTCATTTTGATGAACGGGATGGTGCTGTAAAGGTAAGTGAAGAGGACTGTAACTGTGTGTGTCTGTTGTAAGTAGTGTTGTTATAAGCTGTATGCTTCTTCTAATTTGAGAAAAAGCTTTGTTTGGAGAAATGGTAACACACTGTCACTGATAAGTTTGTCCTTTCTGGGTGTCTCTTAGGATGATGCAATTCTAGCTTGAAAAGTGGATCTTAAATGCACCTGCACTAAGTAATTCTGCAGATGAGCTTTTAAGATAATAATGTTGTTACCATTTGAAACTCAAGTGCCTGAAGTTGAATGATTCTTCTCACCAAATTATTGGTAGAAATCTAAAGCAGTTTCTCTAGGGCAGGTGATAAAAACTTAGGTAATGTTTTTTATTTATTTTTCCAGGAATAAACACTTTTTTTTAAATGAGGGGTGCTGGACAATTTAGTGGTTGTCATTCCTGGATTTTGATAGCCCAGTCTTGATTTCATGTTTTGTTAAGGAAGGGAAAGTGTAATTCCCCTCCTGCCTGTAGTGTATCCATGTTTTTTATGTTCTGTGGGTGGATACAGGATACGGTGGGATTCACTTTTTCTTACATGTCCATATGTCTTAAAGCAGATGCTTAGGAAGATGATGGGAAGAATCTTAGTAAGATATATATCCTGTCAGGTCTTAGCTAAATAGAGTCTTTAAAAGTGGTAGAGACTTTAGGATTCCTCTACTCAAAATTAAGTTCTAGTAATAACTGTAGGCCGTGGGAATTGTACATGGCAGGGAGGGTAGGGAGGAGCTGATGGTTTGCTGTTTGTTTTGGTGTGGTTTTTTTTTTTTTTGTGGGGAGGTGGTGGTGTGGATCTGGGGTTTTTTGTGGTTGGTTTGTTTTTTCCTTGTGATCAGAATGACTTTAATTTTTGGCTTCTGGTTGAAGAAGAAAGTGATAGGTATTGCAAATAAAATAAAGGAATAGCAGAGTATACTGAGCTCTGCTGTTTGCATGTGTGCTGACGTTAGGAATTTATTCATGGATTACAAAATGTGCACTTTCAGAGGACAGTTCTGCCACTTCATTAACTGTAACAGCTTGCAAAGATTGAAGCCTGTTTTCAGTTTTGAGGGGAAGATTTCTAAACTGATACATGAAGTCCTGGGTTTGAGAGCCAAGTTCAGAAGAAATGCATAAGTAGAACCTATAATACTATGCTGTCTGATTGTCTAAAATTTTTTTTTAGCTTTATGTTGTTATTTTAGCTCTGGATAACAATTTAAAATGCGTACTCTAAAAGGTAGAGAAAAATTAATAATTTCAGATGTGCTTGGAAGTATATTTAAAGTCTGGTTAATTCCTTCAGGCAATGGAAGAAATGAATGGCAAAGATTTAGAGGGAGAAAACATTGAAATTGTTTTTGCTAAGCCACCAGATCAAAAAAGGAAAGAACGGAAAGCTCAGAGACAAGCGGCTAAAAATCAGATGTAAGTGTAAATGCATGTAGTTATGTTGTATTACTTCTGAAAGACATGTACAATCCTCTCGAATTAGAACATCTGGGTATTCTATTAGACATACTGTAGTTTATACAGGTTCTCTGGCTTCTCTGAAAGACGTTGGATTCATTTTTGTTCGCATAAAAAATCTAATAGTGGTGTTTAGTGATAATTTAGGTACTGTCTTGCTCTGCTTATTGAGTATGAGAGCACTGGAGGAACTGTCTGAAGGTCATGAAACTTACATACTTCCCACTTTTTATTCTGAATTTCCCTGCACTTCTGCAGTGATGTCACACGGATGAACTTAGCCTTGTGTGTTTCTCTCAGCAGGCTTAGTAATATTGATGCAGCATTCCCTCTTTAGTGAAGTACCCACAGAATATCAGGACCCTCCTTTCATTCTTGCCACTTCCAGAAGATACATCTGCCCATGAAGCTTATGAATTCATACCGATAGAGATCTTGCACTAGTAAATGCTGAGCATGGTTAAAAACAACAACAAAAAATGGCAGTTTCTTGCTGGTGTGTTCTGCTTAATGTTCTCATGTGTTTTTTTCCTGGGTATCTTCCTGCTTTCTTAACCAGATTCCCTCCCCCACTTTACTTCCAAAAATAACTTGGAAGTGCTGTTGTGCAGCATCCAAGAAGATGGAATAGTGAGGTTGCAGGATTAATAGAAATCTCCACATGGTGACCTACTGTACACATGGAATTGGTTAAGTTTGCCCTGCTTATAGTTCTCGTAACTTTATTAGCCCTTTTGTTCTTCCTTGGGCATCTGGTGTTACTGTAAGAAGTCAATTTCTTCTTTTTTCTTTAGCTTCTCTTCTGTGCCAAGCAGGCCTTTTCTGTTATGCTTAAATCTTTTGCTGATATGGCTGTATTTCTTGCTGTATATTCTGCATCTTGGCAATGCCACCATAAATACCTGTTCATTTAATTAAAATCTAGAAGGCGGTTGAAAGTGACAGGGTTGTGTCACCAGTGGCAGTTGTTGGCATGGTTGTGTTGTCTCTGACTGGATATAAGCTTTGAATTTGAGTAATCACCAAAAAATATTCTCACTGCAGTATGCAAACATATTTGCTAGCTCAGTATTCAAAATCTAATGATGGCCTGTCTCCAGTGATGGAGATTTTTTAAAATGCACTTGAATTGGGTATTGTGCTGTGTGATTCCTGCTCCCCACCCAGCAGATTCTCTTACACGCAGTTTTACTACTTCAGGGTAGCATGCATGTATTAATAACACTGGAAGTCTTCTGTCACAGGCCACCTCTAATATTAACATGCTGTATTTTATCTGCATCCCTCTGCTTTTGTTTAGGATGTGCATATCTCATTTGTGGAGGTAGGTACAGTAGGACTGTCTCTCTTACTCCTCTAGGCAGAGATATGGTAATGCCATTTGGGCAGTAGTTCTTTCATTTGGGAAGTCTCTGTGTTCCTTTGTTTTTCTGAGCTGTTAAGGCAGTAGGAAAGCAGCAAGTTTGATTAACTCCAGGCATTTTCTGGTTTTGAATATACTGTTCATTAGTGAATTGTAAGTGTTTTTAATATTCCTAGGATTCCAAAAGGTGTGGGAATAGAAGGATATGTGTGTTTTTAAGTCTGTATACCAGTTATTTGACAAGTATAGAGTGACATCTTAAGATCTTGGAGATA